GGTTCAATGAGTTCCCAGTGCTGAACTTTCTAAGAAGAATGTGGAGGTCAGAGGTCAGCACACAGATGGCTGCAGGAGGAGGAAACAAACGCGTCTGCGGTTCATTTCAAACATAACGAGGAGCTCGGTGTCCACCAGAGGATCACCCCACATCTCAGCCACACATGGCGCCGTTGGACCCTCAGTTTGTCCCGGCTGTCACAGTGTAGGGTCTGGATGATGTCACAGAGAGCGGGTCCCCTGATGCAACATTCAGTTTGGTACAGTGGGCAGACACGCTAACGTGTTCGCACATTTAACTAAAGAAGCCACCTTAAGACATGTTCTGCCAGTCTCAGCCCTTATATGGTCGTCTCAGGCACAGAAGCTCCGCCCCTCAGCTGACTGTCTTCAGGCTTTGGCTGGCATCATTGTCCTCTGTTAGAATGAGCATGGCTCTGCTTGGCTCACCTTCTCTGTGTACGTTCTTCCTTTAGCATCATTCAGTCTCTGTCCTGTGCTGATCACGTTCAGTGGGACGACTGGATAAGCGCTCCACTCTGTGTCTGTTTAACTGTCCGGCACTACGTCCCAGTAAGACCGAGGCCGTGCTTACCTGTGAACTAGCATCAGTCAGAGTTCATGTCGTCTGGTTCACATATTACATCTGCAGCAGGGCTCGGTGTCACAGAAAGAAGCATTATTTTGAACTGTGACTCATGCTAAGCTGCTCTCAGAGTCCAACAGTAAGAATGGAAATAAGGGAGCTGTGTGTCATGTGTTGGTTCAGACTGAGCGTGCTCAGAGCGTGAGCTGCAATCACACTTCAGTCCTGAGGTGGCACTGTGACCGCCTCCAGCCGGTAAAGCCGATCAGATCAGCGCTCTCTCTCTCTGAGCCAGAGTCTCTCGCTCATCCCGGCAGCAGATGGTCTCTCTCTCTTGCCCTCGCCCGCCCTCTTGCTCGCCCACTGGCAGATGGTCTCTCTCTCTCTGAGGATGACAGAACGTGCCAGGCGCCGTCGAGCAGAGAGGCAATAAAGTTTACAGTGATTTGAATTTAGAATTTTTGAATGTTGGCGGCCGACAGGTGAGTTATTGATTACTGATGTCAGCGTGCGATCACATGGTCAGCAGGTCATGGGTTAAACACTCAGACTGTGGATTCACATTAGAGCATTTATATTTATGAAACGTTTGAGCTTCTGTTTGTGTGTTAGCTGTTATGTTTCTTTGTGTTCTGGTTGTTTCATGTTTTGCTGTAAGAACACGTGATTTTACCAACTTTGGGGATGAATGATGTTAATTGGATTTTATTGTCCTGTTTTCTGTTTGAACAAATAGCATCACCTGTTTTTAACTTTCAGGCTTCAGAGCTCAGTTGTGAGGCTGTGCTGTCACAGTGACATGTTCAAAGTTGGTGTTGATCTGCTGGATTAAAGCAAAGATGACCTCTGAACTTTGTTCTCTAACGTGGTGCCTTTAAAGACCAGCTCAGTGTTTGGAACGAATCTGTTTCCTCTATTAGCTCCTCACTGACAGTAAAATCTGTCAAAATGTGTGGTGCTGTGTCAACACACCAACACCAGCAGGCTTTCTTTAGTGGAAGCACCTGCACAGGTTTGAGGTTGGGCACTGGCAACACGTCAGTGGAAAACAAGGACAACCCGCCAAGTGAGCAGCTGGTTTCCTAGCACAGGTTCAGGACGTCACTGAGGAGCATCTGCTGCTAATGAACCCGTTATGGTGCCATCGTAAACACCCTAAAAGGGTCAGAGGTCAGGAGGTCTGACACGTCACTACAGAGGTCAAGTGTTAGGGGTCTGTCACTGCTGAGGTTATATCCGGTAATGGGCAGGTGTCTCAGGAAAGGTTTGAGGTTTAGAGTTCAGTGAAGTCACTGATGAAGTTCTGGGGACGCCGAAAAGGAGCTGGACAGGGGTCAGGGATCAGGGGTCAGGAAGGGGTCACTGAGGAGGTAAGCGGAGGAATAACCTCAGACTGTGTTTGTGTTCTAGGATGATGCTGAATGATCGGTGGACCATCATGAACAACAGCAGCTCAGAGCTCGACAGCAAGCGGCCAAACAAGCACAAGGTATCTCCACGTTAGCCGTTAGCACCTAGCTGCGTTGGCTCAGACAGCAGAGAGCCGCGCAGAGTTAAGTCGTGTTAATCTGGAGTTAAACTGTCAGATCAGCGCAGGAGTAATCTTCAGCATATGTCGGCTTTACTGCAGATTACACCCTGCAGGAGCATGCAGGATTTACTCTGAGGCGATCTTCACGCCACTTCTAACTAGAGATGGCACAATACCACTTTTTTATGTCCAATACTGATATCATAAATTTGGATATCTGCCGATACCGATATGAATCCGATATAGTGTTTTTTAATCAATAAAACAGTTTTTTGAATATCTTGCTGCATTTTGTATAAGTTCATACTAAAGTTTAAATAAACAACAACACTAAAGCTATTCTGTTATACCTGTATGTAAAAAATACAACAAAATATGTCATAGATCAGCAACACTGGTCAATCTAATAAACTTAAACCTGCTCCATCCTCCCTATTCTGGTATTTTAAAGAGTAAGCAACCTAACTAATAGGGTTGCAAACTCCCAGCAAAAAAAAAAAAAAGGGAACCACCCACCCTCCACCTCATGATGCTTAATCGATGTAATCAACTTTAATTTGATGCAGTGTGAAAAAAAAATGCACAGAAATCAATTATTTTTCAAGAAATATTAAATAGATTCAACATCTTTCTTCAACAGAACTGCACAGATGGTACCATCCCAAAGGAAAAAGTACTACAGCTTACTAGGGTATATATATATTAGACTTAACAGTTACTATATACAGTAATGGACTTCTATACATTTTACATCAGATTAAAACTTTGGGTATAAGATTCAGATAATTATTTAATAAAAGCTCGACATTTTAAATGAGAATAAGAAAGAAAAGTCTGTCTTTGTGCCCCCTTTTCCCTGTTCATGCCCTGTCGGCCCCCCTGGCTAAACTTTGCTAGATCCGCCCCTGCACAGTTACAGCCGTCAGCTGCTAGAAAAAGATCCTGGAGTAGAAAGTAATAATAAATAAATTCTAACAACAGCTGATCAAGCTTAAACGTGCTGCTGTTGTTCAGCCGCTGGTTTCCTCTTTCTGGTGCAAAGTGGGCCAAAAACAAAGAAGAGAGCCGATCAGCTGATCATTGATCAGTTTCGTGATTGAAGTAGCAGCAGGAGAGGCAGTCGCTCCATATATCGTTTGTTAAGCTCAACGCTGGAAAGCTTTACAAACATTCAGAGATGAACTTACACACTTGCTTTACTTCTCTCGGGGAAAACTTCCTCGGAGATGAAATGCTGATTTGGTAGCGAGGCTACAAATACACACAGCCGCTCTATCACATGATGCACACTGCTCCAACGTGCTACGGTTATGAGCCGAGTTACGCTGTGTCGCAAGTTTTCTGAGGTGCTTTTTTGATATTTAATGGATCGGATTACATTTTTTATTTCTCTTGGATATCCGATCCAGTAATTTAGGTCAGTATCGGACCGATACCGATACGTAATATCGGATCGGTCCATCTCTACTTCTAACCCTCACACACGCTCTGACAGGAAGCTGCACACAAAATGCACTGTCCTAACACGGAGCGTCATGACTGCCGCCGCCATGTTGGTTTTGATTTCAGGAAGTGACCACATTTGGATGAGAGAGTAATAAACTACCGGCAGAGGCGGGCAGAGTAGCCAAAACATTGTACTCAAGTAACTGTAGCGCTACCACAACATGGTTTTACTCAAGTAAAAGTCAAAAGTAGCCGTCCAAGAAATTACTCGAGTAAGAGTGAAAAAGTATTTAGTAAAAAAGGCTACTTGAGTACTCAGTAACTGATCATAACATCTGATTTAATGTTTAACAATGAGATAATCAGACAGACACATTTTAAAGACTGAAAAGCAACAAAACAATAATAAAGCTAAGCAGAAAAAAGAAATATTAGGGCAGGTAGACATTATCTACCCCAGTATTTATATATTACTTCTGCAAATGTCACAGCAGATAGAGTAACATTAACACAACAAGTCTGACTTATAACCTGCAGGTTTGTGTCTGTTGCCTGCATTTTTGGTTAAAACGTGTTCATTACTCATCCACTGATGCTACTCACACTGAGTAGCCAGAATAAGAGTAGTGATACTTCATAATAATATTACTCAAGTAAAACTAAAAAGTACATTTGTCATGGTCCTGAGCCTGCCGACTCAGTGTTTTGTGTTTCCTTATGCTTTTGTTCATTCCGAGTATGTATGCTGTGGTGATTTGCCATTTGTTAGGTTTCTGTTCTTTGCCTGCCTGCTCCCACTTCTCTGTGTTCCCTCCGTCTGTCCATGGTGTCACACTGTCTGCTTGTGAATCTGTCTGTTTAGTTCTGTGTCTTGTCTGGTTCTGTGTCTGTGAGTTTCCTGTTTTATTGTGAAGGTCTCCGTCTGATGTGAGTGTGTTCAGATTACGTTTCCCCCTGTCCCGTCAGCTCTGATTTCTCCCAGCTGTGTTGCCCTCCTGTCTCTCATCCCCTGATTACTGGTGTGTGTATTTAAGCCCTGTGTGTTCTCCTGCGTTACTCTGTGTTCCACGGTGTCCTGTTCCTTGTCTGCGGCTCTCTGCCTTGCATCCCTTTTGGTTTCTTCTCAGGTTAGGTTTCTTTAGTTATTGTCCTCCCTCATTGCCTGTTTTGCCACCACTCCACTTTGTAAATAAACATCACAAGCATTATCATCCACTGCTTGCATTTTGGGTCCTTTCTCCCTCCAACACCACACGGCTCGCCTCGGCAGCCGTGACAACAGTCTAGTAAAACTACTCCAAAAAGTACTTTTTTCTTAAATGTTACTCATGTAAATGTAATTAGTTACTACCCACCTCTGCCTACCAGCTAATGCTAACTAGCCTGGTTGTCAGACTTCATCACACAAACACACAGATACCTGCTAATTAGTAAGATCCAATCACAATCCAGCAACAGGAGATTCAGTTCCCGGTGAGATGGTTCGGTTTTTAGCATCACATGACCCTGAGCTGTCGTCTTCTGGCTAATGTTGCTTATGCTAGTTTGGCTGCTAATATGGACCCTCCTTAGAGGGTGAGGTTGGTAAACTCTCAGTGCTGATCCAAATTACGTTATCAGGTAATGTTACAAGCTATCTATCAACAGCTATCTGTAACTTAGCGTTTGTCTGTGTGTGTTCGTAGAAGGTGTGCAGCTTCCTGTTATGGTCTGGTGGCACCTTGGTCATCATCGCAGTCATTGTTGCAGCAACAGTTGCCATCTTGTACCTGAACCACTATCCTCTACCCTTCATCAGCAGGTAACACACCTGTACATGTCTCTCTTTCTTTCCTTCTGCCTGTCTAAATATAAATCTGGGATTGTCATGGTTACAGGGGGGAAGTGTCCTCATCTGTAGTTTCAACCAATCCCAAAGAGTCTGGGCCCCTGGTGACAGTGTCACGTGTTGCAGACGGAGAGCCAATCAGCATCTTCCTGGACCCAAACTGTCCGGACTTTAGTGAGCACTTCCTCCGATGGGAGGTGCTGCAGAGCTCGCTGCTACGGGCGCTGACCAATTACAATGCAGATGATTGGCAGGACCACGGATTTGTCCAGAAGCTGGAGGAGGAGCTAAAGGTGTTATTAGGCCACACCCACAACCTGAGAGTGGAAGCTGATTCGCTGAAAAGAGGCCAAGGTGTTCTGGACCAACGATTGGACAGACTGCAGAGTGAACAGAGCCGCATCGTCAAGGTATGAATCAAAGTAATTAAAATGTAATTGAATGAATGAAATAGGAATGCACTGCTGGAAGAGAGTGAAATGTAATTTTATTTAAGTTAAATGAAAGAGAAGACCGACATCCCCTAGGCAACATTAAATAAGACACGAAACTGATACAATATCAAAATATCGAGTTTGTACACAAATGAGGCATCTGTCATGGTGATATAGATACATATGGATTACAAAAGAATACATAATCCAGTCTTTAAGTCTGATGTCATTAGCCGTTTCCAGGTCCAAACTCTGCTTCAGGTCCCAAAGTCAAACAAACACTGCAGCATCACTGAGTTAAAAACTGTCTAAATTCTTTCATCTTTAATAAAATGATCAGCGTTGCTGTTTTACCAGGTGTAACTATGAAGTTTAACATCCAGGCATCCATGAAAACAGAATTTATTACATTTAATGTTGTTAGAAGTTAGCAGGAAGTTAGCTCGCTAGCTTCCAGCTAAACATGATATAGCATGTTCTGAGAGAGAGACTTCTGAAACAATTCAAATGTACAGCTCTGATCAACCTGAAGTCCACTGTCATCTCCTTTCCTTTGACAGCAAGGCAAAGCTAGGTTGTTGTTACTGGTCTTATATTACTAAACAGTCCCTCCTTCTTTGTGTACCTGTACAGGTGATGTCTGACAATCACTCAGGTGTGTTGAAGTTGGTGGCAGGTTTCAGTGATTCTCTGCTCAGCCTGCAGAGGGAGACAGATAGTCTGAGGAGCCTGAAGAGTGAGCTGAGCAAAGACAGCACTCTCACAGGTAACGCACACGCGCGCAAAAAAAACAATGAAGAGAGACAGAATGTATGTGGTTTCTGTATAGAAGCCTAATATTCACGGGTGAAAGGCGAGTACAAGCAACCTCCAGACAGTCGCCTGGAACCGGATACAAACATCGAAGTGTAGAAAGAACCACAACTCAAGCGGGAATAAAAAAGCGGAATCACCACTCAATCATACCAAACAATAAAATCTACCTAGAGACAAAAATATCAAACGAGACTTCTATCTCCCCGCAATAAATACCCAGCACCTCCAAATCTGAGGCCATGGTTCTCAGCCGGAAAAGGGTGGAGTGCCCACTCCGGGTCGGGGATGAGTTCCTGCCCCAAGTGGAGGAGTTCAAGTATCTCGGGGTCTTGTTCGCGAGTGATGGGAGAAGGGAGCCGGAGATCGACAGACGGATTGGGGCTGCAGCTGCAGTAATGCGGACGCTGCACCGGTCCGTCGTGGTGAAGAGGGAGCTGAGTGTAAAAGCGAAGCTCTCAATTTACCGGTCGATCTACGTCCCTACCCTCACCTATGGCCACGAGCTGTGGGTAGTGACCGAAAGAACGAGATCGCGGATACAAGCGGCAGAAATGAGCTTCCTCCGAAGGGTGGCTGGCCTCTCCCTTAGAGATAGGGTGAGAAGTTCGGCCATCCGGGAGGGGCTCAGAGTAGAGCAGCTGCTGCTCCACATCGAAAGGAGCCAGCTGAGGTGGTTCGGGCATCTGACAAGGATGCCCCCTGGGCGCCTCCTGGGTGAGGTGTTCCAGGCATGTCCCACCGGGAGGAGGCCCCGGGGCAGACCCAGGACACGCTGGAGAGATTATATCTCTCGGCTGGCCTGGGAACGCCTTGGTATTCCCCCGGATAAGCTGGAGGAGGTGGCTGGGGAGAGGGAGGT